CTTATGAAAACCGATCGTGAAAGAAACTAAAATTAATTTCAAACTAGAGGACAAATTTTAACTACATTTTCTGTCTTTATAAGTTTCAATCGTGATTTCCACAAAAAAAAAAAAAAAAGTTTCAATCACCCAAAAAAGAGTACTCTGTTGGCACACAAAAAGAAGCAACAGCTCCTTGCTTGTATATTTTTCTGTCGCTTTTACAATCTTAATTATTCATTTAGGAGTTCAAAAGTAACGAAAATAACAGAATTAATTCCCTGGAATAAACGATTAGAGAAGAAGATTGGTGTACCCCAGCTTAATAAATGCTCCTCGGGACTTTCTCAAATTAGTAACCCTCCATTATTGTCAAATAATTGAGTTAGAAGATGAAACTATTTTATTATTATTGTTTTTTTTTTGTCCTCCTAGGTGAAATGTTTCAGGTAAATTGATAGTAGAGCGATGTTTTATAGTAGTGAAGTGAAGGTTAATAGAACCCACCATCTAAATCAATGTAATGTCTGTAATTTGTTCAGAATGGTGATGGTGATAAATCGATAATTGTCAAGTAATTTGCAAAATGAAAATGAATTCTCAATCAAAAGAAACCCCCTTTCAATTCTTTATGATTTAGATGTTGATAATTTTCGGTGGCAACCTCAATGAAATTTTAGTGTGTGGATATGTTAATTTAGGTTCAATGACACAGGTTGACCTAAAAGTTTCAAACATCACATAATTATTATCTCTTAAATTTCACATTTGAGTATTTATTTATCTCATGAAGAAAAGATAGCTAATGAGAAAAATTCATACATGTCATATTGAAACTTCTTTGTCCTGCTTGATTCAGCACTTTTATTTTGATTTGAATCGATCGTGTATTACTTAAGAGTTAGATGGTGTGTTTATCATTATGTTAATTTTTTTTCACTCCCTCCATTCTACCATAATTGCCGTTTTAACCCAAAAAAAAAAGAAAAGAGAAAATTCAATTTTTTTAAAAAAAATTTTAATACTCCCTCCGTCCTAGAATTATTATCTACTTTAGTTTAAATGGAAGATTTTATTTTTGATCAAATTTAACTATATCTTGACCTAAACAACTAAATATGCCCCTACAGCAGTGGATTGTTTAACCGGCAAAGTTTCGGTCATCTCCCTCACTAATAAAAGATGATGACGGGGGCAAGATTTTGATCAGCTTTCCCCAACCCCAATTAATGTATTCAATAAAAAATCAATAACAACAATTAAATAAAATATCGATTTATAGGCAATCTCTGATTCTTCTTCTTTGTCGAATTTAATGATTCTGACGACCTCCAACAACCACAACTCAACCGCCACCAAGTCTGACTTTTAATCACACTGTCAGCACCAACTCGGATTGACTGCTTCTCCTGAGCGTCTACCAATTCGACCCCGAGACAGCCAACACCAAAGTCAACAATGTCGATTGTGCTACTTCTGCCACCAACGACTCACTGACAGCGGTAGCAGTGATGGCTCTAACTAGTTTCAAGATCGAAAGAATTGTTGATGGAGAAGCCGGGCATACTAGTTTAAAGCTTGTGCCATTTTAGCTAGTGAAGTTGTTTCTCAACAAAGTCGGGGCGCCAGCAGGAATAAGGCGGCGTCTCTGGATCTCCTCCTTGCTGATTTTTTTCCCACAATATTGATAAAGGGCAAATGTGTAAATTAATCCATAAAAATCAAATCGTACAATAATTTTGGGACAAATTGTTTTGGCAAAGTGGACAATAATTATGAGACAGAGGGAGTATGATTTTAGGTCAACTTTTCTAAACTTGCCCTCAAAAGAAATAATTTAAATGGTATTTTCCCTGTGAACTTTCAGTTTTAGTTCAATTTGTACTAAAAATGAAAGTCCAAACTGGACAATAATTTTGGGACATAGGTAATTATTTATTTTAATGGAATAGATTTAGCATATTCTAATAATTTACTTACGTATTTAAGTATTTTTAAAATTATTTAATAAATATTTAATAATACTTATTTTAGAATGGAGGAAGAACTATTTTGTAGGGGTATAAATTTGGGTTTGGACCCGTAAACCCAACAATAAATTAGCGGGTTTGGGTTGGAATTTTCGACCCAAATAATAAATAGGTTGCGTCGGACCCAACCTGTTTATTAAACGGGTTGGGTTCTAGTTGACCAGACGGGTTACGCGAGTTACTCGTTTAAATAGATTTCTTAGTAATTTTATTAGTTTCCTAGCGGCATATTGGTCATTTTAACAAATATTTTATTAGTTTTTTTGGAACATGTGATTTTTAGCTTTTGGATGATGGATTATTTTTATTTGGATTGTATTTTATCAAGCGCTTGTTGTTTAAGAATATTTTGTGCAATTTTTTTGTAGATTTGGTTATAGCCATGCCTAAAATTAATTGTGTTACCTTGGTTTGTATTTCGAAATGTGGAGAAAAAAAACAGATTTTTATTAAAAAATTCATATTTTTTACCCAGAAAAAAAAAAATTGGATATCAGCAAAAAAATAAAAATATTCGGATTAAACGGGTCTCAACTCGGGTAATCCGCGAGATAAAAGGCCGGGTCCAAGTTCAGAAATATGACATGTTTAATATATAGATTAGGTTCAAGTTAGGGTAAAAATTAAATAGGTTGGGCCAACCTGTAGACTCGGACCAACCCAATTGACAAACCTACTATTTTGAGGTGTTAGGTGTGTTCTTATTGGAAGGATGCCATGCCATGCTATATACATTGAGAGGATTGCATAAACCCCAAATCTTTTGATTTGATGATGCACTTTGTCTCCTTTATCTGCAACAACAAAATCTTTAAAAATTTTGAATTGCTTTGGAAAACGTCAGTCCGTCTTAATACCAAAACCATCAAAGAAAACGCCATCTGATGATGACGGTAATAGCAAATCATGTTAGCAATCAATCTCCAAAATTACATGATATAAGTGAAGAAAACATTTTGATGAAATTAGAATTACGGGTTTTTTAGATTACTGATTGAAAAGAACTGGCACTAAAATTTCTTTTAACAATTTCATAAAAAACAGAAAGGCATTATTTAGCCAAAGAAAAAAAGAAAGAAGACAAAAACATTGGACTTCGGAAGTGAAAAGTGAAAACTGAAAGGGTAAATCCAACACGCAAGCTATCTTATGCCCACACCCTCCCCTGTTATATTTATACTAGTATGACAATTTTAGGGGAACTGAGCCCGAGTTTGTAAAGTCAAAAATCGGCTCGAATTCGAGTGAGCTTGAGCCGGCTCGATTGAAAAATGAGCCGAGTTCGAGCCAAAGTGTTATATGCTCGATAGCTCGTCAAGCGGCTCGAGCCAAATGACATACTAATCTTCTATATACTATATTAAGGCAAAAATCAGAGAGAGAAAACTAAAGACATGGAGCACATATGTATTTTAATCCTATGTAGTATTTTCTTAATTTCTTAGACTTAAAAATGCATAAAATAAAATAATAAAACAAAAAAAAAGTAACTAAAATAATTTTTTAAAAAAACAAAATAATAATAATCGAACTCTTATTTTCATGAACCAAATCCTAACATAGAGATTGATTGGAGAGAGTACTAAATCCTAATAAATTTTAGAGAAATCTGCATATACCTTATCACAAGTGAATTTAAAATGTCATTTAAAAAAAACAAATTCCTGTAAATCCAGAGGTAATCATGTTTAAAACTGAAGTCATTACATATTTTATAAAAATACAAAATTTATATAAAAATGTCTAAATGTGTATGCCTTCCCCGTCCATCGGACGGGTCTAACACCTAGTTATATCTATATTATTTAATTAAAGCAACAAACAAAAAGGATACATGTCAGTTCCACAATGAAAATTTTCCCACCAAAATACCTTTTTAGTACAAAACAAAAACTGATACGTGACACTCTAGAATTTCAGGAAAAAAAAGGATGCCTTAAGAAAATCCAAACTTTACTTCTAATTAAAATATATATATATATATATATATATATATAGGCTAACCATAGATAGTTTAAATTAAAATAAATAAGATGAGATAATAAAGACACTTAAAATAAAAAAGGACTCTTAAATCAAATCAACGATGCACCAACCCCTAATTTCAATGATGCCTAAATTTAATTCACAACAAACTCTCGAATGAAAAGTTTTCACATTACAAAATCTTCTAGATCACATTAAATCCCAACAATTTCTTCATCGAATTAGTAAATCAAAATTCAAAGCTATTCTCTGGCATCGCTTTTTTTTTTTTTTTTCCTCCGCCGCTTATTAGCATAATTTTTTGTTTTTGAGTGCTGAAAGAATTTAATTTGGCTGTCGATTCTCCCTATTGATTTATGTTATTGGCTTGCCGATTATTGATTTCTGCTCAATAAGTATAGGGCAATATACAAGCTCCTCTGCAATCCATCAATAATATGAATTGTATCCATACAATTTCAATTAGCAGCATATACATTTGATTCCCTTAAATTGAACTACCAAAATGCAGCGTTCAATCTATTGACACAAATTTTGAGATTCAGGGCATGAACCCTAACTATGTGTTAAGATGAAAGATCTAATCTTTTTGCTTCCTTGAATGAATAATATTTGTTTAGACTTTTTATTATTATTTATATGATTATAATAAAATGTATTGATTTTATCGTATGAATTATTTTTGTTATTTAACCAATCCCGGACATTCAGCCGGGACAATATAGTATATTTCATTACATAACCAATAAATAGTTAATTACTTTTTTTTTTAACCAAATACAAATTTTTAATTTTGGCCATCTGAATTCTTCTTCCTTCTCAAATCTCAAAGACACTCGAACTCGAGTTGACATATTTCGGCTCGAGCTCGAGCCTATTGAAAATTGGTCGAGCCAGCAAGTCATATACTGTAGTATAATCCACTTCCATCTATAATTCACTTTCTCTTTCTTTGCTTTCTTTTTTTTTTTTTTTTAATAATTAATTCTCTTTTTTTTCCTTAAAGAAATTCTCTTTCTCCTCCCACAAATCCATCTTTGTTGATGATTATCTTATATGGCTTGCTGACACAAGTACTAGTACTTATTACTACAAGAACTACAGAACTAGAGGAATAGTTCACCTGCAATGCGCTTTCCCACTATTCAAAGCCGCGTCCAATTTAATACTACTAGTATCTATTTTTTTTATTATTATATTTTAATCATTTCTGTTTGCCCCCGTCCTTTCCTTCCATCAGGCCCATCTCTCTTCCCAATATATATTTTCCCCCAACTGTTCATCCGTTGCTTCTGACTTTAGCTTTTCAGCTCGTTTGCGTTCTCGTCTTTTTGAGGTATATTTTTGGATCTGTTATTTTAAAAGTTTTCGAGGGATATATTCGTAAGTGTTGGCGGGTGTTTCTTGGGGTCGGATTTTGTTGTTCTGTAATTTGTTATTCCGGATTTTGGGTCTGTTAGTCCGAATCGATGATGTGGGTTCTGTTGATTTTCGAGGAATTTTATGGGGTTCGATTTGTTTGAGTTTGGTGGTTCCGAAATTTACCTGGGTTGCCTTACTTTTTTTTTTCCCCTGTTGTAAAGATTAGGTTTTTGACATTTGGGGTTTCAGGTTTGTATTTACTCAGTTTCTGTGATCTTTCAAGTTAACGTTATTACTGTTGTGAGCTTTGAATTGGCTTCAAGGGTTAATGTTGATGTCTATATTTGCTCACTTTGCATTGGGGGAGCATCTAGAGTTACTGATGTATTCAGTCATTGCTGTGTTTGCTTTGAGTTTTTAAATGGTAAAATAAAGATTGAATCTTTGATCTGAACTCTGGGAAAATGTGTATGATGGAGTTATTAGTTTGCAATGGAAGTTTATGTAGTGATATGTTGAATGTAGCTGATATAGACGTGAGAAAATAACATGTTTGTAACCATTACATTTTCTAAATGATGTTCAGAGCAATTCTTTGTTAAGGTTTTGATTGAGCTGTTCTAACTTTTAAGTTAAATGATGGATCGATTGACATGAATCCCATTCAGATTTGTAACCTGGTTGATGTGGAATCATTGAATAGCTTTTCAGGTTGACTTTGTGTCTAAATTTGTGCATTTTGATGCTGTTGGTTTTGCAGGTACCAAGTTTTGGGCTTTTGCGCGTGTCCCATTCTCTTCTCCATTCTGCCTTGAAATCTTTGCAAGAAACCTAAATACATAAATCTAACAAATAACTATGGAGGTTAAACTATGGAATGACAAGCGTGAAAGAGAAATGTATGAGAATTTCGCTGAGCTTTTTGCGATCATAAAGGCAACCGAGAAACTGGAAAGGGCATATGTTCGTGATGTTATCTCACCTGCAGAGTATGAAACTGAATGCCAAAAGCTGATTAACCAGTTCAAAACGCTGTCGACATCATTGAAAGATACTGTCCCTAGTATTGAGCGATTTCATGACACCTATAAGATGGACTGCCCTGCTGCCCTTAACCGTCTTGTTGTTTCCGGGGTGCCCGCCACAATTGAACATCGTAATGCTCGTGCAATGTCGGCCACTACTTCTGCAGCCATAGTTGCAGAATGTGTCCAGAATTTCATTACGGCAATGGACTCCTTGAAGCTGAATATGGTTGCAGTTGATCAGGTACACCCGCTACTCTCAGATCTGTCAGCTTCACTCAATAAACTTTCAATTCTGCCACATGATTTTGAGGGCAAGACCAAGATGAGAGAGTGGATAGCAAGGTTGTCAAAAATGGGTGCAGCAGATGAGTTGACTGAGCAGCAGGCTCGACAGCTTCACTTTGACCTGGAGTCTTCTTATAATTCATTCATGGCAGCGTTGCCTACTGCCGGAACTTAGTTTGACATATGTGAATATTCTAAAATAAAGTTGGAACACCACCTTTTGCTGATAAATTATTGGTGTATGTGTATGGCCTACTAACCTCATTTAGCTCTTAAAAAGCCGTATAAGCTGTAGGATGTTATTGATTGGTGCTCTGAAGCTGGTATTTGTAAGGATGTTTGGGCAGGTAGTGATTTAATGTTCTTAATGTTATATATATATGAGCAATGAAAGCATTATTGCTGCTATGTCAAACTAAAATTGCAAAAAGAGTTTGTGGTACAGAGCTCAGATTAGGGAGGCCATTCTTGGTCTGATATCTGCTTCTGTTCTTTGGTTTTACAGTTGGTATTTTACTGCTAACGATTTTGATGTAGTTTCGTTGATCTTGGTCAGAATAGTTGCACTTTGTCATTTACTTGTAGTATTTTTCTGGAGAGTGCCATGTCATTAGAGCTTAGAGGAACTGATTTGAAATGTTGTTGCTTTGGTTTTTATTTTGCCGGTGCTGATCAGTTTGACTGTGTAATAATCCATTTCGATTATACTTGAATTATATCCCAGCTATCTTAACGTTCAGAACCTAAAGTGTTTTCCTGAGAAGCCTGTATCTTGTCAAATCAACTGCTATCTTTTTTGTGGTAAAGTCTATATTGTCATTTTAGGCACTACATGTATTTCATGATAACTGTTACGTGGAAGTTTATGGAGCTTGCCTTAGGCGATGCCATTGTTACTTCAGTGCATCTTTTGTATCATTTGCTTGATTTGATTCCTACACGTTGATGCCATCTTTAACTTGGTTTTAACATTGCTCCACTTAGTTTGAATCCGTATTTATATATGGGTTAAACGTTCTGCACCTTTTGAAGCTTCTATGACGCCGAACTGTGAAGCAAATTATATTAGCAGGTAACAAAAACTGTACTGCAATGAAATGATATCTTTGTGATATCCATGCTCAGAAATGGATTGAGGTTAAAGGTGTGTCTTTCCAAAGGATTTCAAAGTTGAATGTGAACTAACCGTTGCCCAGGGCACAATAACAGAAGGTAAGGTTTCACAAGAAACAAGTTTTTATGAAAAATTTACTGCTCCTTTTGGTCATTGTGAATTTACTCATTTACATGAAGACGATGATGGTTTGATGAATTTGCAGTTGCAAGCAAATGTGATGTTTGTGCACTGGGTTCCTTTTATTGTTACTTCTTTTGAGGGACATTTTGATAAATGTGGTTCTTTCACTTGGTATTTTTTTTTGCTGCTAATATTTTTTGGGCAAGAATTACTCCCTCCGTTCCAAAATTATTGTCCATTTTGAGATTTTACTTTTAGTATAATTTGAACTGGAAATGAAAACTAAAACTGGACAATAATTATGGGATGGAGGGAGTACAAAGAAATGGAGCTCTCTTTTCTCTCTCTCTATATATATATATAAAAGAAATACTATACAGTTAATTTCAATTCAAACTGATCAAACAATTACAAACTTGTATCATTTTATCGAAATTGAGCAAGGCAGACTATGCATTCACAGATTCATCCTCTGCAGACCGACATCCCAAGCAGCATCTGGAATAAGATATGTTCAGCACATTCGAACGCGAAACAGCTTTGCTTTGGTTTAATGTTTTATAGTACTATAATATAATTTCGCATTTTAATTTTAATTTGTTATATGTAAGCAAAATATATGCAATAAACAATAATAAAAGTATGAAGTACATGTACTCACAATTGTTTTAAGGAAATTTTTTAAATATAGTTTCATAACCACGAACTTGTTATCAATATTTTCGGTCGCTTACATCTTTCTAATAACCTCATTTAATCCTTAAATTTAATTTCCTATACACATCTCTTGAAGCGACGTAGTTCTACACTACTTACAATAAAATTTAGAAAATTAAATACAAAAATATACTGACGATATGGCAGTTTCTTTTTTTTTTTGGGTCAAAAAAAATTAATTTATAATTTAAAATCGAGGATACAAAACAACAACTTAAAACCGCAATACAGTAATTTTATTTGTGTTATTATTATTTTTGTTTTTTTTAAAAAAATCCGAAATTCCAATTCCAACCGTAAATAGGAAATATACTTTTCTTCCTTCGGACAACTATATATATATATATATATATATATATATATATATATATATACTAGTATAAAAATAGGCACCAGGCAGGTTCTAATGAGATCTCCTTACACGTGACACCGACCCGGTTTTTTCTGTCCTTCTTTCCGCCCTGTAATAAATTCCGAATAAATTACGTCCAAAATTATCCATCCATCCAACACAAAAATAAAACGCCGCAATCTTTTTTTTTTTTTCCCAATTCTCTCCCTTTTTCCGTTCTTCCGCTCTAAAACCCTTTCCCTTATGCTATACAACGCTTCCTCTGCCCTCCTCCGACGTTCTCGTCGCCGGTGGTTCTCAATCCTAACCTTATTTATATCATCCTCTTCTAACTAATTTGATCAATTAATTTGATTTTCCGACATCGAGGGAGAAGATTTTTAGTTTTGTTTGTTTGTGTGGATGGAAGGAGCGAGATTTGAGAATCCAAAAGCAATAAGTGGCGTCGCCGCCGCCGCGTCCGGTGTCGGATTTGGCAGCGGCAACGGTAATAAAGCAATGGCGTTGGGGAGCGATGTCGTTTTGAAGACCTCGGCCCCCACGATTATGGAACGGTTTAAAGCTACGGTGAAGGAGCGAGAAGACGAACTTAGGGTTTCGGATGACGAACTTGTCTTTTTGAGTAGCGATGAGGTTGTTAGGATTTACGAGTCCTTTTTGTCGGAACTTACTGTTAATTTGAAGCCTATCATTACGGACCTCACGATTATCGCCGGAGAGCAACGGGAGCATGCTCAAGGCATCGCCGCTGCTATTTGCGCTCGGATTCTTGAGGTAGGGTTTTAGTAAAAGGGGCCAGCTTATTGGGACATTGTAATAATGGTTGTATGTTCATGGAGTGAAAAAAATTGTAGTTAGTTACTGAAGCTTTCATAAAGTTTTTAGATTTTTAGACTAGCTTTAGTTTGGTGTTGGAATGTCTAGTATCATTTTCAAGTTTCAAGCTTTCACCTTCCAGTCCAGTATCTCTCTCTCTTTCCTTTTTGTTTTTGCTTTAAATTTTCGTTTTCCCTATTTTTTTTTAGTCTGTTGCGTTGTTCAAGATATAAGGTTTGGTTGTTTCAGACAATTGAAACAATCTCAATGTGGCTCCTAACAACATAACCGCCCAGATGGGAGTGCTAATCGATCCTCAATCGCAACTATCTTACATTCCAAAGAATTGAAAAAGAAAAAAAAAAGACATCATACTGATCAATTGCTTTGGAAAGTACAAGATATGGAGTTACATGTAATTGGAACTGGTATTATCCAATGAAGAAGTTCGCCATTGAGCAGCTAATGAGCTGTTCTATTTTGAGAGAAATTACCAACAGTCTAATCCCATATGCCGGTTACTAACTTGTTGGCTGAAAGAAAATCAGTAGTTAATTTTTGCATTGTTCGTTCTATGTTCTTCTGTACATGATTTGATTAAATTATTTATTTTTCGATTTGTTGCTGTATTTGTCGTTCATTACTTAAAGTTATGTTGCTTTCAGGCACCGGTAGATCAAAAATTGCCCTCCTTGTATCTTTTGGATAGTATTGTGAAGAATTTTGGAGAAGCTTATCTAAGATATTTTTCTCCCCGTCTACCAGATGTAAGAAAATAAATACAAGTATTCTGTTCATCACAAATGACTTACTGTTCTCATCTCTCAAACTTTCTTATCCTTATTTTTCTTGTGATTAGGTCTTCTGTGCAGCATACAGGCAAGTGCACCCTAGTATGTACGCTTCTATGCGGCATCTGTTTGGTACCTGGTCACCGTTCTTCCCCTCATCTGTTCTGCGGAAGATTGAGGCCCGCTTAGGATTTCCAACTGCCATAAATAATCAATCTTCTGGTGTGAATTCCTTAAGAGCTTCTGAATCCCCACGACCGACTCATAGCATACATGTAAATCCAAAATATTTAGAAGCTAGACGCCAGATTGGGGATACTGGTCTAGATACTGTAAGATTCTATTTACTTATATGTAGATTTTTGGCATTTCACATCGTAGTCTTGTTTTTGGTGTTCCTGGTTTTTATTGAGTTTGTTTTCTTGTTATTGAAGGAAAAGTGTTGTTGTGGCATGCTTTGAATTATCAAATTTTGACATAGTCTTCTATCTGATGATGGTGTTCCATATTACTTGTATTTGTTAGTAGTTGGGAAAATGTGGTTGTTGTGATGGTTTTATATTCTGTGTGTTTTTATTCCGCGTCGTATTTGCATTGTCCTATTAAAAAGTTAATGGGAATCAAATTTGATGGCTTGTTCTCAGGCTGGAAGTGAAATTTTGAGCTCAAGGGGTCATGCAGTCGGACCTGCAAAGCTTCAGCCATCTGTTGCGTCTAGGAGTGTGAAGTCATCAACTCCTTATGGATTTAAGAATGCTAGGTCATTATCCCCTCCTCTAGATGAAGTTTCTATGGGTGCTTCCCCCAGAAGAGCAGCCAAAAGGGCTTCACCATCTCATTCTGGATTTAACTATGTGTACAGTAGGGCTTCTGGCAGACATGAAGAGCCAAATGATTTGCTAAGGAATAATTTGCCAGAAGATATTAGTCTGAAGTTTGAAACTCCTGCTAACAGATACAATAAGGGTATTGATCTTGACCGGCCTAGAGCTTTGATTGATGCATATGGTATGGATGAGAGGCAAAAGCCTCAGGCTGATAAACATCTAAAGGTTGATCATTCCAATGTGAATGGCATCCTCAAGAATGCTTCCTTGAAGACATGGTTAAACACGGAAGAGGAAGAATTTAATTGGGAGGATATGGCTCCTTCTTCAGGGGATGGTGGCCGGAGCAATGAGATGTTCGTATCGTCCGTTGCACCTCCTGCAAGTTTTGGGAAAAGACCTGGTTTTGGAGCATACCCTGATACGTCTCTGGGAACTTCGAGAAGCAATTGGTCTAACCAAGCACAACTTCCTGTAGCAAATGGTGTGGCCGCGAGGGTGGAAGGTTCCGCAATCAATGTATGGTTCTTCATTCTTTGTTCATTATACTTTACCCTGCCCTCTGTTGTGTTTTGTGGGACATGTTGGATAAAATGTTTTGCGTTTTTTTTCTTTGAAAACATTAAAAAAAAAAAATCAGGGTTTTGTTCCCGTCATGTTTGCTGTAGTTTAGCTATCCTTTTCATTTGTTTCTATCGTTCTTTACTCCTTGGTACAATTACTTGATGCTCCGCCAAACACTGAGATAAACCGAGGCAACGTTGACAATATAATCTTCTTCTTCTTTTTCTTTTTTGGGCTCTGAACATGTTGAAGTGAGAATTTGCTACAAATAGTAATGGGGGTAATCTTGCCCAGTTGATCCTTTTGGTCAACTGTTGTGGATGAGTTGATCCTTTTGATGTCGTGCATAAAAGATGCTGGCAGAAATATCTTTTCTGGAAGAAAAAAACTTTCTGAAGAATATTATGGTGTTGAATATTGAACAGAAATTTATTTATTTATTTATTTTGCAGTCTGTCCCTGTTGTGAATAGTAGATTTCCTGGATTCTTGAGTGAAAATGCTATCTCAAATGATCTTCAATCAGCAAAGCCCGACTTTGGCATTCAAGGCAATGGGATGACACCTCAAATTTCATTCCCTGGCAATGGGATGCCATCTTCACTCGAACACAAGTCTAGTTTGGTTGGCAATTTTCCTATTGCAGATGCACGGATTCGAGGCCTATCAGTTGGTCCCACATTGAGACCTGGGTTTGATCCCTCGTCTCATGAAACAAAACCTGATGCCATTTCTGGCTCAAGAGTGGCGTTTCCTGCTAAATTGCTTCCGCAGCAATTTGGTATACAAAGCAATGTACAGAATCACATTCCGCCATTCACAAATCAGCTCCGTGGATTTAATCCTCTTAATCAACAAGTTCGACCACATATAGATGTACTTCGTCCCCCGAATATGATTACACCTGTTCCTTTTCCAGCTCCTTTACATCAAAGCAGGCCAAATTCTGGTCCAGGATATGGCTCACAAGGCCGTGGTGTTCCTGTTCCGATTGGTCCAGTCTTGCCTAATATGAATCCTAGTGTTCGGTCGTCCATGCCCTTTCCAGGTCCTGTGAATGGATCAATACCTTTAACCGGGACAACAATGGTCCGGCCTCCTCTTCAGGGTTTTCCTGCTAATCCTGCTGGTGTTGGTGCATTTTCTGGTTTGTTTGATTCTCTCATGGCACAGGGGCTGATCTCCTTGACGAAGGATACTCCAATGCAGGTAAATATTTGCTGCAATAATTCCCCAAGAAAAGCTTATTCCGTTTTCAATCTTGTTAAACAGTCCTTCCCTTTTGATGTCTAGGAATCAGTGGGCCTCGATTTCAATCAAGATGTTCTTAAGATGCGTCATGAATCAGCAATAAAAGCCCTATATGGTGATCTCCCCAGGCAATGCACTGCATGTGGCCTTCGCTTCAAGTGCCAAGAAGCCCACAGAAGTCACATGGATTGGCATGTAACAAGGAACCGTAACATATCTAAAAATCGCAAGCAGAGGCCTTCTCGTAAGTGGTTTGTGAATGTGGATACATGGCTTAGTAGTGCGGAGACTCTGGGAGTTGAAACTGTTCCTGGCATTTTACCTGATGATGATGCTGTTGTGGAAAAGAATGATGATGAAGAAATGGCTGTTCCTGCTGATGATGACCAAAGGAACTGTGCGCTGTGCGGAGAACCTTTTGATGACTTCTACAGTGATGAGACTGATGAGTGGATGTACAAGGGCGCTGTGTACTTAAATGTACCAACTGGTTCAACATCTGGAATCGATAGGTCACAGTTAGGTCCCATAGTGCATTCTAAATGCAGGTCGGAGACCAGCGGGGCTTCTTCGCACAATTTCCAAAGAGAGGTATGTGACGATGCATTTATTTACTTTCAATTTGGTGAAGTACTTTATTTGTGCATATTACCTTGGTTTAATTGGCCTACACAATGACTAATATGGATGCACCAATACTCTTGATAGAACATTGGAGTGATGAGTGGATGACTTGAAATAACTTTCAAAATAATATTTTTTCCTTTATCAATTGCTCTTTGGTAAATGTCTATTTGTTGGTAGCTTATACTTCTGTTTGAGCATCCCATATTTTGTTTCAGTTTTGGTAATGCAATGTTTGCCTTGTTGAATTGTTTGACCTTGATGCCATGGTTTCAACTTCTTTTACAGATAATTAATGTCTTGTATTTGCTTGTTTATGAAGCCATTATTTCTAATTGGCCCTGAAATTGATAATTGATTTTACGTTCCAATGTTCTTTTAGAATGTGAATAACTCTACTGTATCCCGATTAATTGGCACTTTATTTTAGTTGTACCTTTGGTACTTGGAATTCGTGTTCTTTTTATAGGTTTTGATCTTTTTTTTTTCCTGCTCACCTAATGCAGGGCTTTTCTGAAGAGGGTAGTGACAGGAAACGATTGCGGAGTTAGCTGTTTTAGATCAACATTTAGGTTTTGCTTTTTAACTTAAACCAAAGTAGCCTCATCTCAATTGATCTGCTGATTCTGCTGCTCCTATTTTTATGTAGTGATCAGTATTATGGCAGAATGCTGTAAATGTATAGTTGCAATTGTGTACCATCCATGATTTTTGCGAAAAAGAAAGAGGAGAAAAAGAAAAAGTGATACTGTTGAAATGCTTCATCTCTGCTGTTCTTTTCTTTTGCACTTTTTTTTTTTTTTTCTTTCTAAAATTATTTTTCTGAGATCAAGAGGTTCATATTACTGCACCTCCTGATTGTTTTGGGGACAACTTGTAATAATCTTAAACGATGACGGTTGAACCAGGTTCGGTCATAATTGAGGGTGGTCAGTTGTTAACAAAGTGCAAATGTTTCTGCTGTTCGGAATGCATCTTTTGCAGGAAGTCGCTCTGAGAAGATGTGCCCTGTTTCCGGCAGCTGCTTGTTGATGTGGAAGAAAGCCGAAAGCGTTCTTGGCTACAAATGATGATAGGCAGCAACTCCTGAATTCTGTTATTTGTTTTAAACAGTGATGTAAAATGTAAATCAATGCTTGCAGCACCTCAACTGGATCTTTTCATCTTTGTTCTTTTATCGTTTCCGGAATTTCCAGTACTTTCACCTATGTACTTTGTGATTATGTCCTTTGGGATTTGATGAAATTCAAGCATTCAAGCATGAATCTGAGCCTTTGTTTTTCTTGTTCTATAAAACTCTCGTTTTTACGCCTCTGATTTGTTTATTTCATTAACATAATAAACTGTATTCGAATGCAACCTTAGTCTTCCAGTACTGTTCCAAATTTCCAATCTTCTGCAGACGTCCCCGAAGGAACCTAATACAACATTTAAAGCAAAACTATCCATGACAATATCAGAGTTTGTGAGCTAATTCTAGCTCGTAATTGGAAAAGGCACCTTTGGTTACTTCCTTTTTTGGGCTTAAAAGAAAAACCAAAGAAGGAAAAAAACAACAACAACAACAAGAAGAAAAAGCCTACAATTAAACCAAAATTAAAGATACCGTCTACAAACGCTTTCTGTTCCGAGGCTTTTATTAGATTTAATGCAAAAAATGAAGCCAAGAAATTATATTCCTACTTTGCTATAATTGTTATGCTACAATCAACCAAGAAATATGTACTCCCTCCGTCCCATAATTATTGTCCAGTTTTACTAAAATGAAAGATTTTATTTTTGGTCAAACTTAACTATATTTTACCTTAAACAACCGGATATACCCCTACATAAGTAATTGTTTAACCACTAAGATTTTATGGATAATGTTTTTTACTAAGGACAAATGTGTAACTTGATCCATAAAAAGTCAAATTGGACAATAATTTTGGGACAAAATTTTTTGGGCAAAGTGGACAATAATTATGGGACGGAGGGAGTACAATATTTATTTTGACTCCCAATTACAACACTAAGAATTTGAGAATTAGTTAAACCCTCTGAAAAACTGCATCTATCATCTGATGATCAATCTTTTCTTGATGATGCCTGAAGACTCTGACAGCATCTTTATCTCCACGTCCACTACAATTAACAACAACTCTGGTACCATTTGGTAAATTAGGGCAAAGCTTTTCTAAATAAGCAAGTGCATGAGAGGCTTCTAAAGCCGGGACTATCCCTTCCAATCGACATAGCCTTTCATAAGCTGCAAAAATTTAAAAAAAAAAAATAAAAAAAATAAACGTTGATTAGCATGATCACTACAGTATAAACAGTTCAACTTCGGTAAGAAATTCAATTTGATTGGCTCAATTTTTATTTATTGAAAATTCAAAAGAAAAACAAATGACTAGTAGAAATATTTACCGTTTAGAGCTTCATCATCTGTAATTGCATGAAGTTCAACACGTCCTGATTCTTTTAGAAAGCTCAATTCTGGACTAACTCCTGGATACTCCAACCTGCACGTTTAACATTTGAATATTAGAATACTTTTATTTAAATACCATTTGACCCGTCCTACATATAACCTGTATTGAAAAAATTTCAAAACTTAATATGGACAGAAGAAAATAAATAATACTTTATTCGATTTTTAATATAAGATATTTTGATTTATTCTAAATTTTATATAATACCAATGTTTAATTGATAAAAAAATATTAAAAATACGTATTAAATAAAACCTAAAAAAAGTCAAAATGATTACAAGGCCGGAGGCAGTAGTACACGGTAGAAAGTGGTGTAAATTTGTACTCACCCGACACCAATGGAGCTAGGTCCGATGATTTGACCTTCATCATCCTGCAACAGATAACTCATCGTGCCATGATAAACTCCCACATCACCTTTACTCAAAGTCGCTGAATGTGAGCCTGAATCTAAGCCCAATCCAGCTCCTTCGATCCCTATCAATCTCACATCTTCATCTTTAACGAATTCATGGAAGAGCCCAAGCGCATTTGATCCACTGCCAACACAGGCCAATAGTACATCGGGATTCCCACCCCACTTTTCTTGGGCTTGTCTTCTTGTTTCCTTCCCAATTATTGACTGGAAATGACGAACAATTGTGGGGATTGGATGAGGCCCAACAGCTGTGCCAGCCAAGAAATAACTGGTGTCCAAGTTTCTAACCCAGTTCCGAATTGCTTCTGACATCGCATCCTTGAAGTTACCATCAACTGCTTTAACCTGTATGTTAAATTTTATTTTTTACTGTTTGTATTAGTGATATTATTGAAGTCATATAATATAGTGTCATGTTACAGTGAACGTTGTTACGTGTACTAAGAAATGAAGAAGTTAAATAAATACCTGGGCACCAAGGTTGTTCATCAAGAGCACATTGGACCACTGCCTTTCTATGTCTTGGACCCCCATGAATACGGTACATTCTAGATCGAGTTTTGCACATGCAGCCGCGGTAGCAACACCGTGGTGGCCGGCTCCGGTTGCCGACACCACGCTCTTCCGGCCTATGCGTTTCGCGAGCATCGCTTGTGCGATGGCATTGTTAATCTTGTGAGCTCCGGTGTGGACTAAATCCTCCCTTTTCAGATAGATTTCCGGCCCTTTTCCTTCACTGTTTTTGTAACGATCACTTAGTCTCTTGGCGTGATACAGGGGTGTCTCTCGGCCTACATAATCCCTTAATGCTGTTTCTAGTTCTTCCTGAAAGAAAAGAAAACCAAAATTAATGCATGGCCGACATTAACAAAGTACCAAAATTAATGATTGGCCATTTTAAGTAACTTTTTTTTTTTAATTAAAACCATGAATTAAAAATTGAACACGGTACCTGAAAATAAGTGTCACATAGAGCCAAATTGAATTCTGCTTCAAGCATGCTCAAAGAAGTCATTAGGGTCTCAGGAACGAACTTCCCACCAAACTGACCAAATTTACCGGTTCCAGAAGAAGCTGATGATCTTCCAGCATCAACTTGATCATCACTGACTAGTAGTGACAAATTTCGTATTACAGATTCCATGTCCAGTTTAAACATAGTACTAGACGATGAATCATCCGCAACAACTCTGGACTTTTGAGTGACTAATGAAGCACAGACTTTAGTACACGATAATTGGGCATCGAAGGTAATATTGTGATGTTTTGTACCACTAGAAGGAAGCATTCCTATGTTGCTTCCATGAAAGGAAACATTCATCTGAGAATTGCATGCCATAGTTTTGGAAACTAGTTATGTGGAACCTATATATGAAAGGATGGATGAATATCTGAGAGAATTTAAAAACTAGGAACGAATTATAATTAAGCTAGTTTGTGCTTAATTTGAAGATGAGTGAACTCTAGTTTGGAAATTATTGCTTTGGTGCAAAAATTGGATGTGCGGCAGATGTATTTATAGAGGGATAAAGATGAGTTCAACTATTGTTGATTTGAGTGTCTCTCATTGCCAGGAAAAAGCGCATATTGGTGGGCACTATTACGACAAGAAAATGGGCCCAATGATTGCAACGTTTTTGGCAAGAAAACGAGATAACAATGGCTAATCCGATATAATCATGATATCGTGAATCATTTCACACATTGGTTGCTAATTTTAGTAAGTTTGACCGGAATTATTTGGGGGTACAGTCTATAGTAGCTAACTAGCTACTAAAAAAATACTTGTACCCTTTTTTTTTTCCCAATCAGCCAAAAAATTTTTTTTTGCCCCTGAGCGAACTTAACTATCGATTTCAAGGGATATATTCAAACTCAACCATTCAATTAATAAAATCATACACCAAACACGAATCTAAATTAATAAAAAATAGTAATAATTTTGGTTAGTGATTGTGTCATTTACACAAGAAAATCTCATATTCGTACGTTTGATATTTGCGCTTGAGTTGTGTTTAAGAAAATAAAAATTTTAAGTAATTACACATTGTTGGATCCGATCGATTTAACAGGTCCAACATGAGAAGTAAATTATTGTTATTACTGTTAGAAGAAGAAGGAGGGCGATCACTGATTAGGCCAGTAATTTCTTTAGGATTCCTAAGTTATTCACCCATAATTGAAAATGAATTAACCAAAGTGGTTGTGGTGGAGTGGAAGGGATTTCTCCACCTTTAACCATAAGTCGAGGGTTTAAATCTCGCCATGGAAATTGAGCAACCTTAAATACTTTGGTCCGCTGTCCCACCTATCGAGGTACCTACAATTCAGCTTGAGGAATTAGTCACTATTGCCGTCGGTGGATACTCTGCAACTATGAGAAAAAAAAAGAAGAATTAGGGTAAATTAGGTCTTTCTACAATTTCTCTCAACTTTTAGCTTTTTTTTTTTTAATCAAAATTAACCTAAAGTTTGAAGGGACCAAAATAGTATATACAGTCTCTGACTCTCTAATTACGGAATCAATCGGCAATATATTCCACATGCATCGAAAGCAACCCCCTCGCCAATCGTCATCATCTGAGTCATAAAACGTACGTCGAAGTTTCTTTTGGGACATCTTCCACATTATAAACCGCAAACACATGCACACGGTAAAACCCCCAGCTGGCACAAAAATCAGTGCTTGATGTTACGCTACACTTAATTCTTAAACCCTACCACCACTTTCTCCAATTCCTTACACGCACACGTTGAACTGGGTTGCTTCTAACTAATTAGAATTTCCCGACCGCAAATTGATGTTGAAAGGAACTGTAGGTATACCTCAATTGAGTTAGTGTTGGGATTTATCTGAAAAAATAAATCCCACATGGAACTGATCAATAAGTAAGATAAGACTTATTCGGACTCAATAGTTCAAATTAATAAGCCATGAGTCCGTCTTATTTATTTAAGTAGTTCAAATGTCTTCACATTTCCGATGTGAAATTATATTCTCTTGCCAAATAATCCTTAACAGTTTGTATCTTAAATGAAAGTTTTTTTTTTTACTAAAATGTTCAAATGGTCCTTTACATTTGGGCTTACTTGAATTTACATCCCTAACATTAATATTTCAATATCGTAGTTCTAAACATTATGTTTTCACACTTTTTTTATCCCTGTTTCGACTACTTTTCCGTCCAGCTCAATGTTGACCGACAGTTGATATGCCGGAATCAGAGGTATTTTTGTCTTTTCATAAAATTTGTACTTCCATTAAAATTTAAACATTAAAAATATTATAAAAATTCATATTTATTATTTAATTGTTAAAATATTATTTTCAAAGTTACTTTTTCTTTCCTATTTACTTTAATGTTAATTAAATTACACTTTTAATCTCAGCCCACTGTAACTTTAAAAATTTACCGAGACACAGTAAATAATTGAAAATTCAAATTTAAAAAATAAAAAAGCAAAATCAATAAACCCTGGGCTATTTCTAAAATTTTACTGCTCTTTAGTAATTAATTCAAAATTCAAACTTTAAAAAAAATGCAAGAAAATTGTGGGGTGAAAATCCGGATAAAAAAAATCGTTTATTTAAGTTTTTGGCTTAGTTATTGGTTTGAATTGGAGATATAATTTAAAATGTAGTTTTAGTGAAAATTCAAAAAATTGTTGGGATAGTATTTTAAATAAAATAATATTATTTTTACACCACCACCTCCACACCTCCGCCGCCGGCTGGCGACCGTCCGACCAGATTCCGGCAAGATTCCGGCAACTTGGCCAGAATTTGGGCAGAATCCGGCCGGCCAGTTGCTGGTCAGCGGCGGTCTGGCGGCGGCAGTTGGCGGCCCGGTGGCGGCGGAGGTTTGGAGGTGGTGGTATAAAAATAATATTATTTTATTTGAAATGTTATTTCAATAATTTTTTAAATTTACACTCAAACCATATTTTAAATTATATCTCCGATTCAAACCAAAACTTATAAACAATTTTTCATCCAGATCTTCGCCCCCTCAATTTTCTTCCCTTTGGGTCCGCTGGATTTTTTACTTTGGCCGAATAAAAAATTAGAAGGTGAAAATCTAGATAAAAAATTTAATTTTCTTTTCCTTTTGTTTTAAACAAAAAATAGAATTCTGAATTAGTTACTGTAGTGCGATAAAATTTTAGAGTGATACAGGATTAAAAATAAAATGTAATTAATATTTATTTTGTATCCAACATAAATGATTAATAGAAAAATTAATTTTTTATAATAATGTAAATTTTAAATTTTATAATAATATTTTAAATTAATAAATAATATTTTAAAAATAAATAATTAAATGTGAATTTTATAATAGTTTTAATAATTTAAATTAAATGAAAGTTCAAATTATATGAAAAGACAAAAATATCCCTGATTCCGACATGTCAACTAACAGTCAAAATCGAATTGGAAAGAAAAGTGTCCGAAATAGTGAAACGGGACAAAAAAAAAAGGTGTGAAAATATAATGTTTGAGACTACGATATTAAAATGTTAATGCTAAGGACGTAAATTCAAGTAAGCCTAAATGTACGAAACCATTTGGACATTTTAGTTTTTTTTTTTTTTCCTTGTGCATATATTCAAATATTTTAATCCAAAGCACAACGCAAATTAGATTAATTGTGTTTCGATTCAGACAAGACATCTTTTGAAGTGAAATGTTTGGAATGAAAGTTTAGTTTCTCATAATTTGAAGTTCAATTTATTGGGGATTTATCAGAGAGAGAAAATCCGATATACAGCCCGATAAATAAGATAAGACTCATCTAAATTAAAAAGTTTAAGTTAATGGGTCCTAAATTTATCTTACTTATTAACTGGTTCACATATTCTCATGCCTCTGATGTGGGATTCACAATCCTTGCCACATGACCCTCAACGCAATTAAACAAAGGTTCGACTAGAAATCATAAGTCTATAGTAGTTAGCTTGGGTTCATCATAACTTATTCAATTTGTTTTCCGGTTCAAAACATAGCTAGCCTCTAGCGTAATTTGGGTTTTGAATCTTCTTAGCAAGTGGTGATTAATCTTTTTCATCACACCTCAGGTTGAGGCTAGAGGTTTGTCTGGAGAGTGAAAGATTTACTATATATGAAGAATTTGAGGGGGAGAAAAAAAAGGCAAAGATTAATTTTTTTTCAAGATCATTTGTAGGTACATAAAGGATTAGAAAAAATTCGAAAAATTAAATCACGAGGATTTGTAACTCCTATTACGGTTCACTGAACTTCATTTGTCAATCCACTAGGTTGTTTACCGCCAGCAATACCATATACTCCTTTCCAGTGGCGGAGCGAGGCTCCATGGTGGGGAAAAATTAAATTTACTTGTTTGCCTCTAATTTAATTTTAGAAATTTTGTTGGGCAAAAATAAAAAAGTATTTGAAATTTCCTAATAATTAATCTAGGAGTAATTAACAAAAAAATTGGTGGGGCAATCATATGTGACTCTACCACAGCTCCTTTCTTTCATCCTACAAAATAGTTTACATTTTAAATTATAATTTTTTTACTTTTTAATATAATTTTCTATTTAAAATGTAGATTATTTTTGCAAGACAGGAGAAATAATATGCATCAAAGTTTACTTTCCTCTACAGTCCACACATAGCGGCAATAATTCGTGTATTTTTTTAAAGAGTCGATAGAGAACTGATCAAGCACGATTTCACTGTCATATATAGTGTCATTGACATAATTAGTTTTCCCTTTAGGTGATTAATCTTAATCAATTACTTTCCATTAATTGATCAACTCTTGTTAACAAAAGATTTACATATTAACAAGTGGATCGGTGGGATCAAAAAATCACTTTAGCTGTCCGCTCAAAGTCGTGCAGCCGTTGGTACAATAGTTGGGGATTCGGAGCTTTTTAGGCACGAATCCGGTATTTAACACGGATTACTACTGATTAGTTTTTTTTTTTCCTTCGTTAACAAAATTGTTTGGCTTAGCTTTTATTTATCTTATTAAGACATAAGTTTTGAATTGAATTTTTTTTTTTTTTTTATAATTTCTGTATTCTAAATGGGACATGAGGGGGTGATACCGTTACCGACTTGCCGTTAGTTGGCATGTGCTGGCAGCTAGTATTACGTATTTATTGTGGTTTGTTCTTTACATTATTTAAAAAAACACCATATTGGCTTTACCAACGGTTGATGAATTTAATATGATATGATATATTTAGCTTTAGTCAAAATTTGGCCGAGGTTGGAAGCACACTAATTGAAGTTCATATTTTCTTCATGGAAGACATTTTCAGAGTGAAATATTATCAATGACATTTGTACGTTTATGAAAAGGAACGATCAATAATGAAAAAACAAAGATATATCTATCATTTCTGAAAACTAAAACCAAACCAAAAGCTAAAAGTAAGGATTTCTGGGATATTTTTTTCACTTATTATTATTATTATTATTATTATTATTATTATTATTATTATTATTATTACTATTATGGTTTCATTACAAGGTTTACATACCAGCGCTCTATGGTGTACTAGTATAAAACAAAAAAAGAAGGTTCACATTGGTGATGAAATTGATATTTAAATCTTAAAACAGAATATAGACCTTTTTTTTTTGGAATAGAAGTGGTTAATTAATAAAATCGAGAATGTTTGTCAGCTGTTAGTTTAGTATCATCCTAGTTGTGAAAAACAAAAGAGGTACTGTCTATTCTGAAGTTGAGAGCTGAATTCTTGTCTTTTTGAGGATATTGGAAACGTTGCTTTTTTCCTGTCACATTCTTTTTTCTATGTTCATATTCTTAACGACCAAGTACAGCCTAATCATTACATAGCTACTCCTCTGTCCCAAAATTATTGTTCAGTTTGAATTTTCATTTTTAGTTCAAATTATACGAAATGTGAAATCTCAAACCAAACAATAATTTTGGGACGGAAGGATATTTGTAATGCCATAACCATTGATCTACATAAAAATATATTTATAACAATCCTTTTTTCTATGCCACACCGCAAGCTAATTTAACAATTTGTTAAACCCTCTGAAAAGCTGCATCGATCATCTGTCCATCAATCTTTTCTTGATGATGCCTGAAGACTGTGGCAGCATCTTTATCCCCACGTCCACTGCAATTTACGACAACTCTGGTACCATTTGGTAAATTAGGGCAAAGCTTTTCTAAATAAGCAAGTGCATGAGAGGCTTCTAAAGCCGGGACTATCCCTTCCAATCGACATAGCCTTTCATAAGCTGCCAACATTAACATTTCACCAAACCAAAAGAAAATAGAAAATGTTAGTTTTAGTGTCTGTCACTCAGAAATGTTAAATATTTAGGCAAATTACCCTATTAATCTCACAAGTTTCAACTATAGTTTGGCCTTCTATTTTCAACGAAATACATGCATACGCAAACTTAAGGAAAGAATGCCGTGCGTCAGGCTCAATTTTGTGATTTTTATCACGCAGAGATCAGCAAAAATTAATTTCTAAATGAAAATTACCAATTATGGCTTCATCATCTGTAATTGCGTAAACTTCAACACGTCCAGTTTCTTTCAGAAAGCTTAGCTCTGGGCTCACCCCTGGATATTCCAACCTGCATGTTTAATATTTGTACGTCAGAACTAGTTCTTTCTAACTACAACTTTCTCTGTTCCAAAATCATTATTTAGTTTGAATTTTATTTTTAGTTTAATTTATACTATAAATAAAAATCTAAATTGGACAATTATTTCGGGACAGAAGGAATATACTCAAAATAAAATATGTGACTCTGAGCTTGTTTCCCTTTCATGCATGAGTAATACGAACTTAGACATGAAATTAACTAATTAATACTCAATCTCTAAAGATATGTCAAATTGGCGTAATACAAGCCTAGAAGGCCTGAATAAAATGACCACATCGACATATATAGACAGTGTAAATTACGATTCTATTACCACTCTAGCAAAAGACACTGTAAATGATTTTCATGCTAAAAACGTGAAAACAACTGTTCATCAATGTCCTCACCCGACGCCAATGGAATTAGGACCAATGATTTGACCTTCATCGTCCTGCAACAGATAACTCATCGTACCATGATAAACACCCACATCACCTTTACTTAAAGTTGCTGAATGTGCGCCTGAATCTAAGCCCAATCCAGCTCCTTCGATCCCAATCAATCTCACATCTTCATCTCCCACAAATTCATGGAAGATCCCAAGTGCATTGGATCCACTCCCAACACAAGCCACCATTACATCTGGTTTGCCAGCCCATTTTTTTTGGGCTTGTTTCCTTGTTTCCTTTCCAATTACTGACTGAAAATGACGAACTATTGTAGGGATTGGATGAGGACCTGCCGCCGTGCCGGCCAAGAAATAACTGGTTTCCAAGTTTCCAACCCAGTTCCGAATTGCTTCTGACATTGCATCCTTGAAGCTACCATCTACAGCTTTAACCTATTTAGGAAAAAAGAAGAAAAAAAATTAGATAATTTTATTTTTTATTTAAAGTGACAAATATATATTCTCCGACTCCATCACGAAATTAATGTCCAATTTACATTTTCATTTTTTCATACAAATTGACCTAAAACTAAAAATCTAAAGACAATAACTTTGGCAAGGAAGTACCTCTCAATACATCTATACAATCATGTTGAAATGATACAAGAATCTTATATATGTGTACCAGTATATTAGTTTGATTTTTTTCATAAAGGATACCGACGCATACAATATGTATTTGAGAATCTATACAAACATGAGTTTGGTAGCACGTCGGTGAAATACAATTAGACAGACTATCCAAAAATTAGGGAAGAAATGACAGACTATACAATTGGACAATATATGTTACCTCAGCACCAAGATTCTTCATCAAGAGTACGTTGGACCACTGCCTTTCTATGTCTTGAACTCCCATGAAAACCGTACATTCTAGATCTAGTTTAGCACAAGCCCCGGCCGTGGCAACACCGTGGTGGCCTGCTCCGGTGGCCGCTACTACGCTTTTCCGGCCGATACGTTTTGCGAGCATCGCTTGTGCTACGGCGTTGTTGATCTTGTGAGCTCCGGTGTGGACTAAATCCTCCCTTTTCAGATAGATTTCCGGCCCTTCTCCTTCACTGTTTTTGTAACGATCTGTTAGCCTTTTGGCGTAATATAGTGGTGTTTCTCGACCTGCAAAATCCCTCAATGCTGTTTCTAGTTCTTCCTGAAAAAATAAAAATAAAAATAAAAAAATAAAAATAATTACATGGCCGGATCAGACCTCTACCATTTGTTTAATTAGATGAAATCATAATAAAAGGATATAGAACAGCTAGTACTTTTACCAAAATGAAAGGATTAGGTAGCTTCTACTTGCATCTTGGACCGGAAATTAACATGCAACACATATATTCATAAATCTTACTTTCTCTGTCCCAAAATTATTTTCTAATTTGAAATTTTACTTTTAGTACAATTTGAACTAAAAATGAAAATTCAAATTGGATAATCATAAAGGAGTACTTAACAAATCCCTTTTATATACCCTATTAAAGCAGAATACAAGATGTTGATGTGACAACTTCTTATTAAAAAAATTTTGGCTCCAAATGCACCATATTGCATTAACCATTCTGCCACGTGTCATCCTTTTTTAAAAGAAAAAATAAATTCTTATCCGAAGAAACAAAAGTTACTTTACAAAAAGAGCTACACAATTTTAACTCCTAACATTTATCATTTATCAATCAAATTAAAATAGCATTAAAATTTGCCCATAAACTTATCCCCTTTATTACTCCATATTCTTTAATATGATTTCTGTATCGTTGTACTTTTCAATATTTTTTCTCCTTTGGTAGATGATTTTTTTATTTTTATTTTTATTTTTGGCTAAAAAGGGAAAAAAAAACCAAATCTGTAGCTATTTTATTTTTTCCAAATCAAGAATTCATTTATCTATTAACACAAAATTAAAGTAGAAGGGCGCCCGGGCATTTGCCGGGCCAAACATCTAGTTAACATTATAGACACTAACCATGAAATAACTTTAACCACACATATATGGCGCTGAAACTAATATATATGCTCATCCCAACAATTGTTTTATCAAGTTGTTTATCAATGATCACCAAGTTCTTAATTAAAAGTTGTTATATATTTTCTTCTGGTTTTTTATTAAAAAAAAATAGTCCACATTATATTTTGAGATTTGTACTGCTTTTAGTATAAATATCAAAATTGATATTTTTTTTTGTTTGAGACACGGGGATTATATCATATATAGCAACGGGCATATTAGTACCATGTTGCCTTGATGATTGGCCTTATTCGATTTCCCTTTAAGTTTTTTTTTTTTTTTAATTTCTCATGAAATTAATAAAAGAAACGTACCTGAAAATCAATATCACGTAGAGCCAAATTGAATTCAGCCTCAAGCATGCTCAAAGAAGACATCAAAGTCTCAGGAACGAACTTCCCACCAAACTGACCAAATTTGCCGGTTCCAGAAACTGATGATCTTCTAGCAGCAACTGCTGTTTGATCATCACTAAGTAGTGTATGTGTGATCAATGATAACTTTTTCATTATAGATTCAGAATCCAGTTTAAACATTGCACTAGATGAATCGTCAACAACAACTCCAGACTTTTGAGTAACTGATGATGAAGCAGAGATTTTACTACACAAAAATCGGGGGTCAAACGTATGTTCCTTTATATTAGAAGGAAACCCTATTTTGCTACCTTGAAGGAAAACAATGTTCATATGAGAATTGCAAGCCATGTTAACGAATGGATTTGAGGAAAGAAACGAAGAAATAGTTTGAAGCTTTGAAGAGAAGAATATAGTAAGTTAATTTCTTGGTGGTGCAAATGTTGGGCAATGGCCTTGCTATATTTATAGAGAAATGATAATGACTTGAGCCATATTGATTGGGCATTTGGGCCACATGCATGTCTCTCTTTACCTGGAAATAATATACATACGTATTGGTGGTGGTGGGCAATGTTACTGCAGGGAAATTTGCCCCGTGATTGGGACCACATAGGAAACGAGCATCATTCATTGTTTCCCAAGTTTAGTAAGTTCGACAGGGAAATTTAGGCATATTATAAAGGGCTAATTCTAATAATTTAATTACGTTTGTTCAACTCAATTTCGGTCTAATAAGTTATATTTTATAAATTATATTAAATACTTTTCAACAGGAGATACGTACGTACGTACGCCCGTACTAATCTGCGATATGATTCTAAGCTAGGTAAAGGACCCTCACATAATTTATCCTTATATTGAAAAAGTATTCGGGTAAAAATATCGCACCATTCTTGTCTATCAACTTTGAACAAATTTCTTTTTTTCTTTTCTTTTTTTTTTTTTGGTTCTCGTTCATGCATCGACCTAATGAAACCGGAAAATTGCTTCGTTTTGGCCCTGACCAACAACCAAAATTGACTGCCCTGTCTAAAAAAATGTGGCAAACACATCAACCGAAAAAAGACAACTCATAAACATGCCGTAATCAATCGTATTATTATAAAACTACTCCTTCCGTCCCACAAAAATAGTCGACATTGAGTTTGGAGTTTTGTCCTATTTTTAGTATAAATTTAAAAACTCAATGTGGGCTATTTTTGTGGGATAAAGGTAGTATTATTTTTCGTTCAAGGTTCGTATTCAGACGTTCTAATTGTAAGAATCAACTTTGACCAGTTGATTTCCAATAAATTAAAAAAACGAATTGGATTAGTTGAAAATTTTGAAGGGATCAAAACAGTACTGTTAGGCTTGAAGTTGTCCAATTATTAGCGTGATTCATTTTATCCACATGCAACAAAAGCAACCTTTTCGGGTTGATACGACATAGCTTCATGATTATGTTGCTGCACTAACACGTTTACTGAATCATAAGCAACTCATAATTGCAATTTCTTGATTTCACTAAACTCTCTCACTTATTAAAGACTGATTTTCTTCATATAATTTCATATATGTTGGAATTCAATTACTGTTATACATGTAAATCTTCTTCCTTTCTTTTGCTTTGGTGTATGAAAACTTAATTATCAAAAACAAATTAACTCACGGTTATCATCGTAATTATCTGCATGATATATTCGAACTTCCAAGTTAGATCACCTTATGTGAGTTTTGGGTGTGTACTATATACAATTTACTTGTTGCGCTGTGATTGCTTGAGGTGAACATGAGCCAATGGCCATTCGACAGGTATGCACTCAAAGAAGTCAAAAATCTAGAAGTATTATATTATTATATTAGTGATAATATGTCTCCGATTTAGAAAGACAGAGATTGGGGGTTTGGCGGCCACACATCTTTGTTCCAACAGAAAAAAAAAATTATGCCCCACAGCAGCTTCAACGATTACCACATTTTTGGCGAGCAACAGGCAATAATGGATATAGTCGTGACTCGTGAAAATGTGAATCATTTCATACATTCGTTGACCAATTTTCGTTGATTTGATATTTTCTTTAAATCCACTTCAAAAATACGGAGTATAATTTAAACAGACGCATAAAATCATACGTAAACCAAAAAAAAAATTCGGGCGAAACTCCTTCTCCCGCATAATTTGGTTAAGATCGTTTAAGTTGAATGAATTAGGATTGCAGATGAGGCTACGAGCCTCTGAGGAATTTTAGACAATATTGTAAATATGTATTGAATCTGTAGCTTTGAAAAGTCAACTTGTGTATAACGAGTCAGTGCATACGATCTCACTCTCTTTGGCACTGTTTGTTTCTCTGTTTGTTGTGATTTAGATCAAATATTATTTTGGTTTTCTTGTGCACTTATGTTACCAAATATTTTAGATTAATTGGTGGAATCTCATGCTCTAAAAAAAAAGGTGGAATATATAATTTAGACGTCAGCTCCAACGTCAACGACATTGTGGCTGTGCGGCCGTTGGTTGAACAGGGCGGGAGCATTATTCACGGTCGTCTTCGTGAGTCGTATTTAATTTTGTGTCTCAATAATAATAATTACTAATCATAACCATTAATTAATTAAATACTGCTCCCACTTGTAATTAGTTTGGATTAAGAAAGATAGAAGAGGTCAATTATGACTGATCTGGAAGGATGATATACTTATGTTTGAAGATTTGATACGATAATAAGCGCTTCCTTTCGCATTTGTTTACCGACGTTGGAACAGTTAAAATACAATTTTTTTTTGTTAATTTATTTTATGTTGGGACTACGACTTATACCAAATCAATGTTAGCTTTTTCTATCCACCACTTGATATTAAATCATGATTAGAATACAATATTATCGGTGTCTCATATTCACGTAATGTAATCGTTTGAGTTATTTAGGCGTTTCGTCTCTTCTATTGTACCGAAACAAAAATATTAGCTTTTTCTTATAATCTTGTAAAATAATCTGACTAATATTTGAAATTCTTAAAGATTATACGCATTGGTGTATCGACCACAACTTATCATGTCCATTGTTCAATGTATATGTACATATATTATTTTCACGGTCAATCAATTTTTTACTATATACTTTTCTCCGTTCCAAAATTGTTATATAATTTGAATTTTTATTTTTGTAAAAAAAAATTATAAGTGAAAATCAAAATTAGATAATAATTTTTACGGCAGAAAATCATCCCTTTTACCCTATTAAAACAGAATACAGGATGTTAATGTGGCAACTTCTTATTAAAAATTTTTTGTTCCAAATGCACCATATTACATTAACCATTCTGCCACGTGTCATCCCTTTTTAAACGAAAAAAAAAAAAATTCTTATCCGGAGAAACAAAAACTACTTTACAAAAATAGCTACACAATTTTAACTCCTAACATTTATCATTTATCAATCAAATTAAAATGGTATTTAAATTTGCCCATAAACTTATCCCCTTTATTACTCCACATTCTTTTATATGATTTCTACATCGTTGTACTTTTTAATATTTTTTCTTCTTTGGCATATGATTTTTTATTTTTATTTTTATTTTTGGCTAAAAAAGGGAAATAAAACTAAATGTATAGCTATTTTATTTTTTCCAAATCAAGAATTCATTTATCTATTAACACAAAATTAAAGTAGAGGAGCACCCGGACAGATGTCCGGACCAAGCATTTAGTTAATTTTATGAGAATAGTCGTTGGATGACCGATTAATGTTACTGCACGTCAATATAATCAACTGATTTCGGAGTGTAAGAAATCATCGTATCCGCGTAAACTGTTGTGAGATTTAACAGAACTAATTAAGTCAAGAAGCTCTGTGCTAAATCAGATTAACAATTATATTGAGATTTCAAAGAATTAATTGAACCCAAGAGAGACCGTTAGACCTTCTCCATGATACCTTTAGAATTTCTACAAGAGCTAATTTGAGGAAGATACAAATTATGAGTGATTAGAGGGATTGTTTATTAGGAATATATGTGGTTTGGCCGGATTTTCCGACCATGAATTAGTGAATCAATCGTTTAATTGGTTTTTATATGCCAGGAAATATGGGATTTGTCAATATAGGTAACAGAAGACAAATAATATTAAGCTCTTAGGTACACCTTGCAGTGCGTGTATCACAAATTTGGGAGAAAAAAATGATCATTTTAGTCCTGATTTTTAGTTCTCACACGCGCATTTAATCACCCAATTTTATCCCTATTTTTTGGCATTTAATCTCTATAATTTTATCTTTTTTTTTGGTATTTAACTTCCTGATCTTATCCCTTTTTTTTTGACACACGTTTAATTTTAAAGCTTTTTTTTTTGCTTATCATGTTAGCTTTTATATTATTTTATTATATGAGATAATTTTTATAACGATGGATTTTTATTTTAGTAAAATTGACTATGGTTAATCATTGAGACTTATGAATATGAAGAATCAATGTGTATTTTTTCAGTAATGAATAACCAACGTTTAGACAATGAATACTGTTATACAGTTATTGAAAGATGATTGATGTATAATGTATTCGTTTTATTGGTGAGTATACATGCGTAAGGTAAGACGCCATATATGGTTACTGATGAACAGGAATTTCATTGTTGTTTTTTAGCAGATGGTGTATCATCTTGTTCAGATTTACGATGATTATCTTATTTTAAGTAATGAATAACAAGTTGTTATTGATGAATAACAGATGATGTGCTTATTGGATGATGTTTCAACTCTGAGAAAAAGAATTTTGGTGCTTATAATATCAACGTCAATGTTGTTCTTATAGTGACAATGTTATGGACGAATAAATTTAAATTTTGTAATGAATAACTATATTCACAAAAATGAATAACGATGCAAACCTGACGAATAATGATCTCATCCTAAATGAATAACAATATTACAATGAAGAATAGTTGTAGTTTTACAAGATGAATAATTGTACTTTAATGAATAACTAAGCAAAAATTATGAATAACTAGAATACAAGATGAATAAACATTTCACCAGAAGAAAAAAACATGACTAAAATAACCCAAAATTGATGATGAATAATAATATTGAGATGATGAATAACCGCCAGAAATAGATAATGATGTAAAAATCTGATTTCCAAAATCAACCACAAATCGATGAACAAGACTAGAATATTAATGAGCTAACATGTTTTAAACATGAATAATGATATTAAACTGATAAACAAAGCTTAGATCTATTTATTTTTTTTTTCTAAAATCAACCACAGATCGATGAACAAAACTAAGAAATTAATGAACTAACATCATTAATTGATGATGAATGTTGAATAATATTTCACAGAAGAAGAAAACATGACTAAAACAACCACACATTGATGATTAATAATGATACCGAGATGATGAATAATACCAGATCTGTTAATATTTTCTGAAATCAACCAC